ATTGCTGCAACTGATTAAAATGTGTTAGTGAGCTTTAATTTTTTTTTAGTCACATCCATCTAAATCTGCTAGTGCATCTGAAACTACCCTCTCTCCAGATTGAAAATAATGAGGGTAGTCTGCATTCCATCCAAAGTAGAGGCATGCTAAGACCGGAATTGTGTTACTGGCCAGATCACCTGGTGAAAGTAAAAGCCTAAAACTAATATATTTAAAGATTGGTAAGCTGCAATATATTACATTTTTGGGTTTTAACCATTTCACCACCACCACCATACTATAGCCATTATACTGCTACAGCACGGCTCTCCAGTTCAGCGGATCACAGATTAGGGTAAAGAGCCAATCACATCGGTCTTTTACCATGTGACCAGTTGTATCCAATCACAGCTGTCACAGTGTAAACAGATGATTTCCTTTGCCGGTTATCGGGTCTCCTTTCCTCACACAGAAACTGTATGTGGGGGAAGGAGAGCCGGATCTATGAGGTACAACGTGAGTACAGTATTTTACACTTATACACAGTGTCCTGATTAGTCCCCTGATTATCAGTGCAGCTTATCAGTGCCTATCAGTGCCACCTCATCAGTGCAGCTTCATCAGTGTCTGCTGATCAGTGCCCAACAGTGCAGCTTATCAGTGCCCATCAGTGCTGCCTCCTCAGTAGAGCTTCATCAGTGTTCATCAGTGCAGGCCCATCAGCGCAAATCAGTGAAGAAGAAAATGTACTTGGTTGCAAAATTTTATAACAGAAACTAACATGTTTTTTTCAAACCTTTCTTTCTTATTTTGTTTATTGAACAAACAAATAAAAAACACAATGGCGATTAAATATGACCAAAAGAAAGTGCTATCTGTCTAAAATAAAAATTATAAAAATGAATTTGGGTACAGTGTTGTATGACTGAGTAATTGTCATCCAAAGTGTGACAGTGCTGAAATCTGAAAATCGGCCTGGGTAGGAAGGCAATGAAAGTGTCTGGTACTGAAGTGGTTAATACCAAATAATGTAATCTGTAGTCCAGTGCCATTACCACACCAAAACTCCCTGAGGAACCAACACAACTGATCATTGTTGGAGTGTGAAAGAAAACATCATGGTCAGTAACATGTTTATGTTCATAAAGAAATGCCTGTCCATTTGCGTGCTAAAAAAAATATAAAAACATAAAAAAAAGAAAGGAAGAGGAGTTGCAGTCAGTGACATGTGTCCTACATTGTTTAAGCATTTAATATTTTCATATTAACAAATCAAGAGGGAATAGGACACGTCCACATGTAAAAACTAGAAAACATCTTTAATACATGTATTCATGCAGACTCAAATTAATGTTGCTTTTTATGTTCTTATTTGCGGTCTAATTTTGTACATGGACCACTCTCTTTGATTTGCCAATGTCCATCTACAAACAAAGCGTGCGTAAATATTTCCACAAGACACTGTTCCACAAATACAGAGAATGGCATTTCTGTATTTACAGTCATCGGATGACCTGCATTATTGTAAATATATGACATAATATTTTAGTTGAAAGTCTCATCTACAAGGAGGAAGTTAGATAAGGCCCATACTGTACCACAATGCCAGATTTGCGTGGGAAAAGATCAGCTGGCACCTGGCACTAACCCAGACAGTAAATAGCAGTGCTGCCTATGACAGTGTAAGAGCAGAGCTCAGCATACACATAGGAGACACTATGTATGGAGACCACAAACCACAGTGTTTATATCAAACAAGAATCACAACTTTATTGGAGTCAAAAAGGTTTCTTTTTGTTTTGTTTCTTTGCGAAAGAATAAAAGTTTTTACTATTTTCAATATAAAAAGTCTCAGGAATGCTGTTTCTTGGTTGTGTGTCAATCATCACTAAGGAGAACACTGGTGCCATCAGCATATTCTATATATCTACAGTAAAAAATATAAAATATAGTGTCTTTGCAGAAAAGATACACATCATGGTACAGCTTAAGGTAGTCAGCCTAAGGAGTTATTTTGTCACACCAGATGCATTTTCCCACATTTTACTAGCTTGGACAAAATTCATAGACATGTGGAAATCCATAGTTTTCATTAGGGTCAGCTCCGACCAATGTCATGCTTTGTAATGCATAGGAAAAATACTACATGCTTTATTTTGGGCACATTCAACAGCATTTTAAAATTCAAATCAATTCAAATGGAGTCTTTTAAAATGTAATGCAAAATGTCTTAAACATATGTCTTAAACACAACACATGTTAACTCGTGTTTTGGTGTGAACAAGTCCTGAATGTTGGATTGCGATCACTATAAAAACTGATAATGCATAAATAGGTACATACTCTGCCCTTTAAACTTGACAACAACCCCCCTTTTAAATGCATTTTTAATCCACCCTTTGTTTATGTTCAATAACCAATCAGATACAAGTTCATTTAAAAAAAAATAGAAGTTCGTTTGAACCTGATTGGCTATGTGAAAAGAACACAGGGTGGAGAAAAAGCAATACATTTTATTAAACAATAAAAAAGCAATACTTTTTATTAAACAATAAAATGTTATTTGTTTAATTTGTATCTAAAAAACTTCTGTCTAAAAATTAGAAACAAATACACAGGACATGAACCTCCCATCTTGTATATAACCATACTATATAAAGATATTATGGCTGGTCACTAAATCCTTTAAAAAACTAAATTATCTGGGGGTTAGAAGAATGTGAAATGTATTCACTAATAGTTTCAATCATTGTATTCAAAGAGAACTTCAAAATAAATATGGTGATTGCCATTGTTGGCAACCTTCTGAAAATGCTATTTGCCTGGCTGTCATATTGATCCTTTGGGGTCCATATTTTGCTCTAGAACAGGCGTAGGAAACCTGCAGCCCTCCAGCTGCTGTGGAACTACAAGCCCCATCGTGACTCTGCCTCTAGGAGTCATGATTGTAACTGCCAGTCTTGCAATGCTTCATGGGACATGTAGTTCTACAACAGCTGCTCCAGAACAAGTATGCATATAAAGAGTTCTGCCTGAACTCTGATTTCACTTGCTGCATATGTGTTCCAAAACGTTTTGAGCCAGGCAATATCTATATTTAGAAGTTTTAGGGAAAGGATATCTATAGTCCCTGCATAACCATGCCATAATTTGTATTACTTTCATGCTATAAAAGAAGGATATATTGACAGCCTAGGAACGTCAATTTAGATCTTTGTAATCCACAAGTGTGTTGTTGCATGAAAAAAAACCCCAAAAAACTTTGCTTCTTATTTAATCAAGAGAAATTATTCAGGTAAGACTCTGATGTCACGTCTTGACTTATATATACCCTAAAGTTCATACCTTCAAATTGAACCACTTAATAATGTTTGAATTCTTGTGATCAAGCAGCCCTAAAAATTGCACCAAATATTTTACATTGGTATTAATGACTAAACATTGTTAAATCAATATGTGAGATTACACATTACTTCTCACAGGGTTCAAATTGTAAGTAGTTTCACAGCAGTAATTGAAATAGTGACAACACAAAGGACAAAAATATGGTATGCAATACAAAAATTAAATTATAATAACATAAATACCATAAATAAAAAAATAATAAATAAAAAATAAATAACAAACAACATAGCTTATAAATAGTTCTTCAAATGCAAGAAGAACACAGCTAGGGACAATTTTGACATTATAAACATCATTCTACAAGCACCATAGTAACAAAATAAAAAAAAATAAATATAAAAAACATGATAAATAAATGTGATAAGATTTGCAGATACTGTTCTAGCTAACAGTATTTTTCTGTCATAAACTGTTATGCTGCTTGGCTGGAATGGAAGCATTGTAATTTATTTTTTTAAACATTTTGCTATCATTATAAGAAAGGGTAATGCCATGTATTTGATGTTTATGTTTTAAAATAAGATGAAATCACTGCAAATTGCTGCATCTATTTTGAATTCTGTATCTACCTTTTCACAGACTAAAACTCTACTGGACTGACGATCCAAAGTAGAATTGCACAGTTCCTTTGCTCAAACGCTTCTGTGGTTTTTACCATGCAACATGCAAGGGATGAAAATCAGAAGCATGAAACAAATAGGTAGTAAGCTGCCCATTTCACATCATTACACTATTTCAAACTTTGACAAAAAAAAGTGCTACTAGTATTTGTGCAGTTTGTAATGGGTTTTGTAACCAAGAGGACGCTGTAGAAAGTTTTTTCAAGTGTGTTTTACTTATTCACTATTGTTTATATGGGAGGGGAATTTTTTAAAAGCGTTGCAGTCAAAATCTGCAACAGCTATGCATGACAACAAATCAGCTTCTTGTTTTCATTTTTAAAGCTTGACTGAACAAGCTGAAACTAGAAGCTGATTGGTTACTGTGCACAGCTTCTCCAGCTTCTGTCTGCTCCAGTTTTAGTAAATTCCCCTTAGTGCTTTTACTTTAACATTATGCTGCTTATGAGTGTTGATAGAATAAAAAATGTGCTATTGTTGATAGACCACTGAATTTCATCAGGCATCAATGACAGTAAGCAATTTACTGTTTCTTGCCAATAACATACCATTTTTCTAGTAATAGTTTTATGCAAATCTGATGATTTTATATAAATCTAATATTAGGTGTAACTGTAAATTAGTGAAATAACAAGTGTGAATTCATTTTGATAATCAGTGTTTGATAATCAACTTGTTCTTAGTTTGGCCCTAAATATCTGTCTGTATATAACTATCTGTTAATGTCTGGCACGTTGCACTTAAAAAAGTCCAGTTGATAACAGACGCTCACATGGAAATGCAAAATATGGCAACACAAACAAATGTTGTGTTCATTCAGAAATGAACTAAATGTTCTAGGCATATTAAAATATCAGAAATTATCTGACATGATGAAAGCCTACTAGAGTCCCTGACAAGCCGAAGGAAAAGCAGACGAACTTGTATTGTTCAAAATTGCCTTGACATCCATTGACATGTAAGGTCAAGTTCTTCATAAAGCCCATTCTTCTGGGATTACTCAGTGAAAATGGCATGATGTGGATACTGTTCATAGGCCATGTCTATTGGAATTTCATATCTTGGGACTGCAGTTTGAAAATGGGGAGGATGCCCATGAGAACCAAGCCCAAGAGATGGATAATGAGATCGGAAGCCATAAGGTTTGTCTAAGTCTGGAGAATTATCTTGTTTCAAGGAAAAATTGCCACTAATGCTCAGTGGGGGAGTTAGAGCACCTTCATATGGAGGTGTAGTACAGTTTAATGTATGGTTTACCATTGATGGGTCCACCACAGTTTTAAATGTGGGTGCTTTCAAGTGCAAATGGTGAGCTTCAATATTGCCATATGGAGGACTTGGAAGACCTGGAGACTGATAGCTGTAGGCATGACTTAGTGATGAGTCACACATATGTGGCTTATCTTCATGTTTGTCCAAGAACAAGGACTGAGGGCCAAGCTGCAGACAGCCAGCTACAAGATTGCTAGTAGGCTGTGATAGCCCTTTGCAGAGCATTTCCAGAAAGCTCTTTCCCTCTGTGGTTTGACCTCTTTCCAGCACCTCAGATAATGCCCATATATAATTTCTGGCTAATCTGAGGGTCTCAATCTTGGACAACTTTTGTGTTTTGGAGTAACAAGGCATGACTCTCCTCAGATTGTCTAGAGCATCATTTAGTCCATGCATTCTTGTGCGCTCCCTGGCATTGGCTTTTACCCTCCTCACACGAAACCTTTCCAGCCTAGCTTTGGTCATCTTCTTTTTTTTGGGGCCCCTTTTCTTTGGTTTTTCTCCATCATCTTCTTCTTCTTCATCTTCCTCTCCATCAATGCTCCCATGTTCTTCATGGCTCAAACCTGACAGCATGTCGAAGGCAGACTGTCTCTGATTTGTATCTTTCATCTCATCTTGAGAGCTGAGGGCCTCCTCCATCCACCCATGAACACTGACCATCTCAGACATCTCTCTGGCCTTATTGGATGTTCTCAGCAGTGTGTCCTGTGATAAGATACCACAAAAAGAGAATCAATTTAAGTTCACTAAGGAGCACTAAAATAATTAGTGCCTTACTAAACAGGTAATATAATACCATTGAGAAATTAAGAAATATTAAGAATAATTAGGGACTAAGCATAGTTAATTTAATAATTTAGCCCTATGCCTATACCCTTTGTTAAAAATAAGCCAATTGCATCATGTCATAAAGAAAGTATTGTACCCTTGTTGATGTAATTGTTTTTATTAAATTGACATATTATGTTTCTTACATTTAATATTTTGAATAAATTATTTGATAAGGAAAATGAGAATCTTTACTCATTACATTTTGTAAATATTTGCTTCACATTTCCACATTATTAATATGAAAAGAAAATTCCTGATTAATTTGAGTACCCAATAATATGTAGATGAAATAAGTAAACAGGAATTTGCTTTTCACATGAACGGATAATGGAAAGCAATAGTCACACAATTAATTGTGTGAAGATTCTCAACTTCAAAATCAGTTAATTATTATCACTGTATCAATTACATATAACAATAGCGATGGGAAAAAATTACTAAAGTGAATAGATAGGTACATTGCTACTTGTCTATCCCTAAATTCCAGTCATTTATACTTTCTAGTCTTTTCTAATAAACCTATTGCAAAGGTTGTGAACATCATCAAAGCCCTGAGATTGTAGTTTCAGATATTTCTTGCTTGAAGAAAGCAAAAATATTTAACAAAATACCTACAAGTGTTTGTATTATACCATGCTTTATTCCAGGCATTATTATCTTCTTTATAAAGAAAACTGAAAACTCGATCAGCAGTCAGTCAGCAATGATCATGTTCCACAATGATTATCACATACCCTAATGGTATGTTAACTGTCTACATCTGCTTCCTGTGCAGCTTGCTTCTCTGATGATTACAGGTCTAAGTGGGCAAAATTATTTTAATAATGTAGCATAACCTGAACTTTTTTGCAGAAAACATATTTTCCCAATTTAAATACTTGTCAGTAAATACATCTTTTTTAAAGTAACACAACATATGATTTCAGAGAGCAGCCCTCTCTAGATATTAGCTAAAACACCATATTTAACCAAAAGAAATGTATTTAACTAATTTATTTAGCAATGAAAATGTAATTGCACAAGGCTTAGAGAAAATGCTTTAACCCATTGGTTCCTATTTCACAAAGTGCAATTGCAAAAAAATGCATATGTGCTTGGGCAGAGGAGACTGTGAGACAAACTACCTATCCTTAATCCTTTAGATGGGGCAGCCAGAATCAGAGAGGGACAAGCACATTAACTCCAAGCAGATATTGTCCTTGCTAGGAATACAATTCAAGATCTTTGAACTGCAAGGCATGATTACTAACCACTGTTCATGTTTCTACATCAAATTACTATTATGAAGTATAATTAAAGGACAGAAACTGATGTAGTAACATCTATCTATCTATCTATCTATATCTATCTATCTATCTATCTATCTATCTATCTAATCACCACTTACATCAGTTGACCAAAAATAAAGCATTCTAGAAATGGATTAACTAAACTCAAAGTTAAGTTTGTCCTATGAGAAAGTAAAATATCCAGTTACTGAGCACTCCCCAGGCATTGAGCTATTTTTTCAAGGTACATCTATCGTATCTGTTATATTGTTATCTCTGATTTGATGTGACTGCATATAAATGTAGTGATTTGCAGAATTTTAAATAGCAAACAATGTCCATGCTTGCACATGCAAGATGCTTATTCTCAGGTGTCTCCCAGGTTTCATTTGATTGCATGTGTTGTCCTCCTTTTTCGTGCTAATACCTCAACACTTCCAAGTTCACATAAATTCCCTATCTTTTTACATTATGTCACAATGGGAAGCTAAATGCACTTTATATTTTACTAAAAAAGGTGAGCCCATTCCTTAAACAGGATACCATTAATAAGTCCTAAAAATTCCTAGTGGTGCAAATAGGTTCAATTAATATGTGAATACTGCACTGATTTATTGTATACAATGAGTATATACAGTAATGTGCAGTACAGAGTGCAGAATAGACCAGTGTATAGTTTATATACTGTGTGCAAGAGTTTATGCATAAAATGCATTCCATTACATGACATTGCCTAATTACACTGCTTTTTCAATATATTAAATTACTGGTGACCAGCCAATAGAAAAATGTAAATCTTTAATTTTTGGAAAGTCTAATATAAAAGCAAAAAAAAACCCAAAAGTTAGAAAAATGAAAATCAGCATGCAAAATCCTGGAAACTTTGTTGCAAAGTATGCATAAACCATGAACTATGCTTATATATTTTTCATTTTCCAAGCATTTGCATATATAAATATTTTTTAAAATCATTAACACAATAAATGTGGCTTCAGAACAAAATATAACAATATCAGGATTCTCAAATTCAATGTGAATAAATATAATAAAAGTTAAAAGTGATATACCACATTTTAAGCTACCAGAGTTAAACATAAAACAATGCATATCAGCAATGAGACTTAAAATGTAGCAAAGTTTGAAATAAATTACACCATAACATTGAGCCTTTACCTTAATCTTGGATGGAATAAAAGTTCAGGACTAGTAGGACTTGGTTTCTCAAGCAGAGGGTAGAATGTTGCCACCTGAGTTAGTTCAGGCTGTTAGAGAGCTGGACAGCTCCCTGTCTGAGTGGCTGCTGCTGGAATGAGCAGTTCAACGGCTCTTTCCCCTTTACAAAGGTTGTAAGTAAGCCCTGCCCCTTGCTGGAGGCTGAGCTCAAGGTTTTGGTGGTCTTCTCTCTGCTACAGCTCCAGGTTTAACCCTTTTCATTCATCGTATGACTTCTGCGAGCAGCATGTAGTGATAGAATAAATGCTTCACCAGCTTAAAGTCCACATGTATTAATCTCTTATATAGAGTAGACAATTTTCATGTTTTAACTCAAAAACACTCACAAATTTTTAAAAACATTATGAAAACCTGAGAAAAAAAACTAAAATGATGCAGTGCTCAGAAATAAATCTGTGTTTTATGCTCTGTGTTTTTTATTGTACAAGGAAGTCCACTCAAGCATTACATAAGAAGATAAAAAGCAAGCATATCCGTCTCCATACGATTAGAGATGAACTAATCATAAAAAAAAATCACTTTGCACAGAGTTCACCAGATCTGTGAAGCCTAAATCTGTGGAATTTAAGAGCAACTTATCTGCCCTCAGTGGGATGTGTCTACTTACCCAATTGAACTGTAAAAGGTATCTTACCTATTCACTACAATTTCAAGTATAGTTAAAAGTCAAGAGTTTTTTTTTTTAGATTTACATAGAGTGACATGCGGTTAGAAACACTGTTAGGTTTGCTGATGGCTATGAATAAGGTTTTTGTTACCAAAACGCATAAGCTGCTGTAACTTGCACACTGTATCCTTTATTAATAAAGTACTTTTATCGGGAGAACAAGTTGCCGGCTCTTCAGCTTATACTCTTAGGTTTTTAATGCTGCCAATGACTACCTGTCCTGAATTTCACCAGGAATGAAAGTTAACATTAATCCAAAATTTTGAGTTGGTAGAGCAGGAGAGGTAGAGGGGAAATCTTTCAGTGGGGGGGGGGGGGATACTTTTTATTATATCATCTGTCTGAGGGGGAATTCCTTCATTAGAAAGATATCCTCTCATTTCCTGTCTTCCTGTCTACAGGAGTGGAAATGGAAGGAAATCTCCATTATGCAACACAGATTACAGAAAGAAAGAAAAAAACTGACAGCAGTTGTACTCTCCTGTCAGAGATTTCTTTTTTTTTTTCATTTCTTTTTTTTTCCTGGAGCTTTCAGTTGCGGATTGTACATTTTACTGAGATTCAGTTTTTATCCTGGAAGTCTACAGGTCTGTGGGTTTTCTCCATTCATAGAAGAGAAAGCTAGTACAGTAAACAGAGAAAAGACACAATGTTATGGAATGTTTTCCTACTTCATATTAGGACAAGAAAAATATATTTACTTCAACCAGTTAATTGGAAATATAAAAGTACATGGCGAGATATACAGTAGATATACCTGTTTTACCTTCTAATAGATATGTAATATGGTTTTTGTGATCCAGACTACATAGCCAAGACCTAAACTGCAGACTATGCTGCAGTTACATATACAGCTTGGTCCAAGACCCACCCCTTCCTGTTATTGGACAATGATGGAACAGAATCACATAAGAACATCATTAAGCTCGTCTCCTTCCCTGTTCAGATTTAAGTAGCCCTAGTACAACTAGATCCTAGTATATCACTGGATATTACACTTAAAGCTTTCTGTAAAATAAAAAAAGGGGATCAATACCAGTCCTGTGACCTATGATCTTCAGCATCTGACACTTTAGTCTAGGTTCACACCTATACGTTTTTCGCTGCGTTTTGCAGAAACGCACAGCCGTCCATTTAACATGATTTCCTATGGGGCAGGTTCACCCAGTGCATTTTTTGGACAGGCAGGGTCAGGAACTTTTTTAAATGTAAAATGTTGTGTTTTTGGTTCAATAGACTTCTATAGAGATGCTGAAGAAATGCATGTAATGCCTTTTTGGTGTTTTTGCTGCATTTTGCGTTTTAATCTGCCCAGCACTAAGTTGAAAAAAATAAATGCAAAACGCATCAAAAAGCATAAAAAATGTATCAAAAATGCATGTGCAAAAACGCAAAACGCACCACAAAAAACACTGCAGAAATGGATCAAATGCAAACTGCATAGGTGTGAACCTAGCCTTAGTGTGTGTCAGATACCTGTGTCCCCCTGCTGTGCTTTGCATTTCAATCCACTGGCTGCTACATCACTACTGTGTCCTCGCAGAGCTCCAGTGATGTAGCAGCTGGCAGGCTGAACCACAGAGTGTGGTGGGAAGTGTTGATTACTGAGGATCCTTCGCCTGGTGTAGCTCTGCAAGATCCCATGCATACTGGCTTAAAAATGTGCTGCT